AACCAGGAACTGACAAATATGTAATGCCTGAGTGGATCCTTAAAGTTTCACAAGAGCGCTTTTAGGGCCAGTTACTGGTCAGGGTGGCAAAAAGGCTTTAAATTGGGGCAGTTGTGGGTTTTTTGGGGCAGTGCTCCAATTCCAGAGAAAGACACTTCCATGAATGCAGGCTCTTATCTTTGCCTCGCACAGCTGAGCACATGGTGTCATGAGCGAACAGCTCAAAGAACCGCCTTTCTGTCCGCCTTGATGGATTATTCAGTTTTATTTCCCAAGGTGCGATGAATTTGTTTCAGGTAGTCCACGTAACAAGTGTGATAGCTAGCATTTAGCTTAGCCTCATTCCCAGATATTTGTGCATCTCATCCTCAAGACTGTAAAATCATTTCCAGTCAAAAGTCTTATCCCGAAGATAAGTGTGAGTGAGGGAACACTGAATGCTTCTTGTCTATGGGTTGCAGACTGTAAGATGCCTTATGTATATCAGGCTGAAATAATTGTCAGACTGTTTTTCCTTCCACTACCGGTATATTTAGCAAATACATCTCAGCAAGCATTTTTTGTTTTTAAAAGATGTCTAATAGATGTCTTAGCATAGTCATCTTGGCTAAAACAAGGCTAAATTAGGGCTGTCAGTAAAAATCAAATTAACAGAAATAAATGACTACACACATAAACTCTGTCTAATCTGTCTATTTGATGACTAGTCTAGTTTTGGGCTATTCTTAGATGTCTTAAATTTTCACTGACAGCCCAAGCTGTCTAATAGACATATGCAACAAAAAATTGTTTGCTGGGATGTTGATTAAAACTCATATGGCAATATACATTTTTCTGGTTGCAATAATTTTTGAAGCTTTTGTGTTATCGCGCTATTGACATGAGATTAAAAAAACTACTTTAACAGGTTATAATAACAAATAGAACCACATTTTTACATATAAAAATGTTTGGAGTAAACAAATATTTCAAAGTAATTTATTTGCAAAATTAGCATAAAGTTGAATACTTTACAGTATTGTTTCGATTGAAACTTAATTAATCCATTACCTAACATTAATAGTGAAAAATATTAAAGTTATAAAGTTATAAAGTTATTTACTCCATTAAGTAAATCATTTGTGCTTTTTGATTTTAAATGTGTTTTAAAATTGTTCTCTGATATCTACATGGTAATTTTGTAGCTTAGGCTCATTCAAAAATTCTCTAGAAATGGTTTTATAAGCTCATTTATAACCACAAGATTTACTCAGAAAAGCTCGGTTTTGACCATATTTGGAAGGGTCATGAATATTAAGGATCTTGGTTTTGATGCTGTCACACAAGCATACACACACCATGATCTACTGTACACTGTAATACACACATGCTAAATAATCATACGTCAGTTATTAAAAAATATTGTAACAAATCGAGTAGGTTGGTTGAAAAATGACAATATTTTCAATTAAAGTGGTAGAGAGGTTTATTTTAGCTAGAAGGAGTGAGTTAGAAGGCGTCACAGTGGCACAGTGGATAGCACAGTGGATGAATTTCCAAGTGATGGGTTATAGCTGGAAGGGCATCTGTTGTGTAAAACATGTGCTGGATAAGTTGGTTGTTCATTCCACTGTGGTGACCCCTGATTAACAAAGGGACTAAGCCAAAAAGTAACAAATGAATGAATGAGTGAAATGTGAAATGAAAATAAATAAAATGAAATCATGGATGTTGTGGTTCCTGTATTAATATTTAAAAAACATTACAAAACAAAACAGCATTATTTTACCCAAATTACTTTACTTGCACTCAATAGCCTTTCTATGTATTTAAAAACCACTTAAATTATGCCTAAAGGGGCAGTTTGCCCCAAAATTTTTATTTACTCACCATTTAATCACACTCAAGTTGAACAAAAAACATTCTAAATGATGTAAACAAGCAGCCATTGACATCCATAGCAGGAATAAAAATACTACGGAAATCAATGGCAACATTCTTCAGAGTATCTTAGAAAGACATTCAAACAGCTTTTGAACAAGTGGAGTGAGTAAATGATGACAGAATTGTTGAGCAAACTATCTGTTTAACTTAATGACTGAAGCAAATTTAACCCAAACATTGGTTGAATTCACAGACAGTCGCTTGAAATGAAAGTTTGCACAGAGGTGAAATTGAAGACTTGAAGAGGATGTGTACCTGACCTCAAAGCCACAGCTCCCATAAGTAATACAGTGTGACTCAAAGGTACTGTCTAAGTTTGTCTGTGTTTTTGCGAGGTGAGTTTGTCAAAACCACGCTTCAGTTGAAAAGAACTGCTCTAAATGTTCACTGTTATAACTTACAGTTTTGGCCTCCACACCCTTAACTGACACACAACAAGACACCTCCCATGTGAGGACCTTTTTTCCCATTGCTTTGCCTTCATATTTTGTGTTTCATTGTATATTCTGAAATTTAGAGTAATCATGAAAAGCTGCTCTGACAAAACAGTACTGTAAATTGTTTCCAATGACATATGGGTACATGTAACATAGGCATGTTTATAGTACTGAATTATTGTCAAATGTATGAAACTATATTATTTACATACATATTTAAAAGAATTTGAAGGAGATTATTGTGATCAAATATCAGTCAAACTGACTAAACCAAGACATGTTCTTAATTGTCAGTTTGAAAATTAAACTGATATAAAATCTGTAAGAGGGTTTTTGTTTGTTGTACCTGAACATGGCAAGCGGTTTACTTATTTGTTTAGCTACTAGTAGGTTTTTCATTAATTAGTAGTACTTATTCCTTAGCTACAATATCTTATTCTTGAGGCTGCATTTACACTATGTGTTTCCATTTTAAAAGTGGTGTATTAAAGGTCGCGTGAAAGTAAAATATTATTAATAGATGTTAGTATCAGTACATTTATATATATATATATATATATATATATATATATATATATATATATATATATATATATATATATATATATATATATATATATATATATATATATATATATATATATAAACTAGTTTGCTACAAAACATTGATAACAGATTATTTTTCACATTAACTTGAGTTTCTCATCAAATCTTGACCAATCAAATGCTAGTATCTGACATGCCCCACTCCTTTCAAGACACTTCTCATTTGCTTTTTATATGATGCATTTGAGCTCAACCTCTTTTACTGGTAGAGCTGCGATAAAACAAAGCACTGTTGGTTGCTTTTCAAAAAGGGGAGGCACTACTCTATATCCCACCCTCTTTATGTGTTTCAGTTGAGTTTATTTCAAACATCAAATAAAAAAAGCACATTTCAAAGCAATTCTCGACACAGGTCCTTTAAATTTGGCTGTTTATGAGAATGTGACATGTCCAGCTCTCTGGACATGCACATATTTTGCAAGCATTTGTTCTTGCTTTATACCAGTTGCATAAGGGTTATATGTGAGGGCTTTGACTAATCAGGAAACAATATAAACAATACAAACCCTTCAGAAGAGCAGTTTTTAGACAGCCGTGCCTCAGTTTTTAAAAGTCTTCACTGTTTTCAAATGCTCCATTATCGTTAATCGATATGTCTGGTCGTCAGACATAATCATAATAAAACTTGTACTGCATTTGAATTTAAATACTCGGCCATTAGAAAAGTATGTTTTATACAGTATGACTGTGAGCATTATGAATTGAACTCGGACATACTACGTCTGCCATTTTGTCATGATCACATGAACTACCCGCTTGAGTGGCGTCGCTTCACCCCTACTCTCTCACAGGGCATCATTGGTTAGCGTAGCATGCATCGGATGCACACTTCAGAATCTCACCGGAAGTAGTAGGTCATCCGGGTACTTCTCGCATCCTGTTTTTTGAATTCTATGGATTCAGACATACTACTGGGCTCGCATACTGTTTTTAGCAAACTACTATGGAAGTATGTGATTTTCGACCAGCTGTTGTTTTAAAATGAAAACACACTAGTGTAAATGGCAGCTACATGCGTTTATGCTTTTTGATACATTTTTGCACATGAAGTCTACGATAAAAGCACCACCCAGTGGTCAACAGCTGCAGGCACACTTTGCAGATGCTACTGACGAAGGAACATCTGTACTTGTACCCCTTCAAAAATACACAATTACCAAAATGTTAAGAAATTGTGGCTGTGATTTACTAAAGAAATTCTTAATTTGCTAATCTCCACTCATAAGAATCACTAATCTTGATTGTTTATTTCTTCATGTTCTAAATTAGGCATGAAATTAAAATGTACTCTTCTTAATTTTGTGTATAGTTCTGGTTATAAACAATGTATGTATAAAAAAATCACAGAGAAAATTGATTTAAATACATTGTTGACAATTTCCTGTGGAATCTACAGTAACTTTCTGGCAGCAGTTTGCCAGTAACTTACTGTAAATCAATTACAGCAAAAATACCGTATTTACTTTTACAGCACCATTTATCTTGCTGTATTTACAGAATTGTATGTATATTTATACTGTAAAATACACAGTAATTTTCACAATGCAACTTTAAAATACGGTAACATACTGCAAAACTACTGCATCAGTTACCAAAGAATGAAATCATGCTCTACCCTACTTATTTCAACACTGTTTTAAGTGGATGTACAAATAAAAAGCAGAAAAAAGGATGATCTTAACCTCTATTTCATGTCAACTTTATTGCATTTCTACATTGAATCCTATATTTGTACATTGAATATATAAACATTAAATATATAGTCTTATGAACCAGGATAAGAAGTTCATGGTTGATACTAATGCATTAGATAATGCTGAATTAATATTTCAAAACTTGTCACTTTTGGCCTATTGTAAGAGAATGAAGTGCAATGCTATTATGTTGACCTAAAGTTCTTAAATACCAGATCATGGCATTTAAAACGTGTCCCACATTTTTTTAGCCTTCGCCGCCTGTTTAGCAAGGCGTTTATTTACCTTACACTGCAAGATGGTTAACCATTAGCTATTTAGTTGTGTTTTCCTATAGTTGAGTGATACGAACAGGACATTGGAGGCTGAAATGAAGCAAAGAGAAGTGTTGACTGCGATGAGCTCCTTTTTCTGAAGACAGCTTTGGTTATTTTTATCATGACTGAGTGGAACACACCACACTTGAAACTGATTCTTATCGGAAACTCTGGGTGAGTTTTTGCCTTAAACTTTTTTAGTAAAGCACGTACATGTGGACCTGCATGCATTTTACATAAATGCATCTGCTTTTCCTCTTTATTTATTACAGCAGCCACACATGCATACGTTTTTGTACATTACATATGCAATACATTGATGACACCACAACGTTTTGATGTTTCAGAAAATATGTGATACTTTTATTCACTAATTTAAAAATACTGTTAAAACCGGACACAAGTCTTGTCTATCCAAGTTTTAGGAACAACAAATAACAACTTGACTTCTAGTTGATCATTTGGTATCAGAAGTGGCTTTTATGAAAGGCAAAGGCCTCTAGATCACACTTATTTTGCCAAAATAAAATATGATCATGTCTTAATTTTAATGATTTCATTAGGACAGTAAGGTCTGACTTTGCTTAGACTAGATGCAAAGCAGTTATTTCAAACCATAGCATTGTTACTGGTGACAGGGTATACAATTTAATTTCGTTCTCATTCTTTTATTGGAAGTAAAAAGTTGTAAATACAAAAGTAAGCATCTGGTTGTATTATGCATATGTTTGCAAAAGCTTAGAGACTATAAAATCCAGCTCTGTAATATTAGTTTGAAATAGTCCATTTCTCTTAATAACACATTACATTACATATTGCTTCAGTGTTTGTTTTCAGTTTACAAACAACCTAGTCAGTTTCACCCTACTGTAGGAAGTGTAATTACAAACAAATAAAACAAATAGATCAGTAATCACTTGAAAATTCTCAAAATCATCTTAGAGCTTATCAAACCTCAACAGCTCTTTGTGTTTCTAAACGTTTGAGTGCATTCATTATTACTGCTTTCTCAATATTATTGCTAACAGCATATTTTTCAAGGTAATTCTTGTGTAATTTGTTGTTTCTGTTTCTTTTTATCCGAACAGAGTGGGAAAATCTTCATTTATGACCCGATTTGTTGACCATCGATTTACTAATTTGTATCGTGCCACAATTGGGGTAGATTTCCTAACTAAAGAAATCACTGTTGATAGAAGACCAGTGATTCTTCAGGTGAGAAACATTTATTTTAATGAACAGCTCATCTAACAAATAGAAACTTTCTCACATTTATATAACCCTCAAGCTGGTTCCAAACTTTAATGAATTTCTGTTTTTCGGTTGAACACAGAGTAAGTTAGCCTAATGTTTTGAAGAATGCTAGTTTATGTGTTTACCATCATATACAACACTAGTACAGCATTTCTTAATCAAAATTAACTTATTAACATCAGTTAATCCACCGTGAGCTAACATAAACTAACACTGAACAACTATATTTTTATTAAGGCTGACAAATATGAATACATACCATAATAAATATTGTTTGATGCTTATGTTAGCAAACATTTCGCTAATACAGCCTTAATGTAAAGTTAACCAAAATACCCACTTTTGTGTTCAGCAGAAAAAAAGAAAATCAAACTAATTTGTAAATATGCATAGTGAATCAATGAAACATTTGAATTTTGAGGTGAACTACCCCTTTAAGTCCTTCATCTGAACTTACTGAAGCGTCAGAAACAACAAACTCATGCAACGCCCGGCTGTTTTTGCAGCAGATCTGGGACACTGCAGGCACAGAGAGGTTTCATTCCCTGGGTAGTTCATTATATCGTGGAGCTCAATGCTGCCTCCTAGTGTTTGATGTGACCTCGTCTGTCTCCTTTGAAGCGCTGGACGTCTGGAAGAAAGAGTTCCTGGTGCAGGCCTGTCCTTCAGACCCAGCTGCGTTCCCTTTTATTGTGCTCGGCAATAAAATCGACCTGGATCATCGTCAGGTTAGAGCTATAAGATATTGTAAGCTGTAGGATATTATTTGTGATCCAGGAACACTAAACAAATGTCAATTCTTTTTTAAATAAGGATTTTTACATTATATGAAAGCAGAATAAATAAGCATTGATTTATGGTTTGTTAGACAATATTTGGCTGAGAAATGAAAATCTAGATTTTTAGGGTTAAAGAAAATCAAAATATTGAAGAATTTGCTTTCTTAGCCAAGCACATTACTAAAGAAAATATATTTTTTAACTTTTACAAAAGGAGATTTATACCTATATTCATAGAACATGCTTTTCACTTAAAATTCTAATGATTTTTGCCAAAAAAAAAAGCTAAACAAAAAATTTTTTTTTGGTTACTGACAAAATTATAGTTACAATACAACACAAGACTGGCTTTGTCATCCTCATATGTCACTTTGTTCATGGCTGAATTGATTGACAGGTGTCAACATCCAAAGCTCAGAAGTGGTGTGTTGATATCGGAGCTGAATATTTTGAAAGTAGCGCTAAGGAAGACATTGGTGTGGATAAAACCTTCCACAGCGCAGCCCGAGCAGCCCTGCAGTATGTGAGTTCAATTTAAGTTGTACAGCGAAAGGTCTGTTTACAAATGAGACCTATACTGTAAAATATCCTGGCTGCCTTTTAGCTGAATCAAATTACCTTATGAGTTTATTCATTCATTCATTTTCTTGTCGGCTTAGTCCCTTTATTAATCCGGGGTCGCCACAGCGGAATGAACTGCCAACTTGTCCAGCAAGTTTTTACGCAGCGGATGTCCTTCCAGCCGCAACCCATCTCTGGGAAACATCCACACACACATTCACACATACTCATACACTACAGACAATTTAGCCTACCCAATTCACCTGTACTGCATGTCATTGGACTGTGGGGGAAACCGGAGCACCCGGAAGGGGAAGGCAGGGAGAACATGCAAACTCCACACAGAAATGTCAACTGAGCCGAGATTCGAACCAGCGACCTTCTTGCTGTGAGGCGACAGCACTACCTACTGTGCCTCGCCCTTATGAGTTAATTGAACTTATATTATGTTAACCTGACTTCAAACTGCATTCATAACGTATTAAGTTGGAACATGAATAACTTAGTTTATTAAGTTACAATAAAGTAAAACATATGATGTTATGATTAAGTGATTATATAATAATTGATTAATATATTGTTCTGTTGTTCAGACACAATTGCCACTTTACTTTTAAAATGAGCATTTTTCTCCAATGTGTAGGTTCTGTAATTTCTCTTTGATGGTGATGAATAGGTTATTTTCATTGCCTTTAAAGTGAAATAACTGCACATAAACAGGTGGTTGAGAAAAATGCTTATTTTAGAAAAAAAGGTTTGGCATCTAAACTCTTTAGCTGTCTCATCAAAGCCAAGTAAACTGTCTTTTTATCTGTTTAACTGTTTGTGTAGTTCCAATTTTTTTGTATTTCGCAAATCTAAGTTTTAACATTGTTTTCACAACCCGTATGAAAGGAATACTATAGTAACTTAATACTACAATGTTTTTAAACTGTAGTACATGGTAAAAAAAAAAATTGATTCAACAAAAAACTTCAGGACATTTTTGAGTTGACTTAACTTTCAACCTAATTACTGCACTTTACTCGATTTACGTCAACTCAAAAATGTCCTGAAGTTTGTTGCCTTAAAAATGTATTATTTTTTTTTTTACAGTGTAGAGCAAAGAACTTGAATACATCTGTTGTGGTAAATCTGGAGTCCTGTAAATCCCTTTTTTCAGTTTTCTGCTTTTGAGAACTGCAGGCCAATTAAGCTAAATAATTGTATTTTTTTATAATACTTATAATTTGCTTTGTGAAGCTTCTTTATAAACTAGATTCGAGGGGCGACGCGGTGGCACATCGGGTAGCATGTTCGCCTCACAGCAAGAAGGTCGCTGGTTCGAGCCTCGGCTGAGTCAGTTAACGTTTCTGTGTGGAATTTGCATGTTCTCCTTGTGTTTGCATGGGTTTCCCCCACAAGTCCAAAGACATGCGCTATAGGTGAATTGGGTGAGCTAAAATTGACCATAGTGTATTTGTGTGTGTGCGCATGTTTCCCAGAGATGGGTTTGCTTCTGGAAAGGCATCCACTACGTAAAACATATGCTGGATAAGTTGGTGGTTCATTCTGCTGTGGAAACCCCAGATTACAGGAACAAAGCCGAAAAGAAAATAAATGAATGAATGAATATTGTGCTTATGATCGCGTGCTTATGATTGACCACAGCGGGTCCCACATTAGCTGTCACATAATATACTAATCGGAAGAATTCACACGCACATAAATAGCCGGATTTCTTTACCTTAGTCATCTTCATCTTGAAGAATAATAGTGCATCAAATTTAAGGTTGTTATGTTGACTTGTAATAAAAAAAAATAAATGGGAAGAAAACAAAGAAGGAAAAATTATGTGGCACTAATGAACCCCATAGTTACATTTAAAGTTCTCTCTCTTAATAAGAACAGGCCCTAATTTATCATAACTTTAACAAATATTTAGTTAAGTTTTGGATTTGAGACTGAACATGAGCAATAAGCAGAATCATTTAGCTTTTTGTCTCTCTCATTACAGCTTAAAAGTCACCATGTGGAGAATGGAGGAGACGTCCAGATTACAAACACACAACAGGACAAGAAGCAAAGAACTAAAAAATGCTATTGTTGAAGCAACAACTCCTGCACTACTGTTCTCTATTACCAGTATTACAACAAGTGAAGAGAATAATCAAAGACATTAAAATCAAATAAACCGACAGCATATCTAAAGCACTGGAGTTTATCCCAGCTGAAAAGTACCAAACATACAAACAGCCAATCAGAATGCACCAAGCTTGAGCATTTAAAGCAACAGAACTGTATTGTGATATTATAATATGCACAACAGTATTGTTTGTTGATGGTGTAATGTAGTTTATAGCTGACGATTATAGCGATAATTTTGTGAACAAAATATGTGCAAGCAAAGTTTTAATTGCATTAGCGATAATGAAAATGAGAGGAACGTTTGCATAATGGAGACAGTAAAATTAGTCACTAACTATAAAGTACACTACAGGAGAAAACATTTAAATAAAATGATGCAATTTTTGAGGACTCTTAATGGCGTGACTTTTTACAATACAGGTTTTTTCAAAAGACTTAATATTATTTATATTGTAACAATTTATTGATGTTTAACTATTACGTAAAATGTTAACACAATATCATAGACTAAAATGCAATTAAAACAAGAGCTAGCCAAACTGTTTTTTGTGTAAAAAAAAAAAAAAAAAAAAGAAAGAAAGTGATAGGAAAAATAAGATATGATTTGTGATAAGATTAAGTATTAAAAGCAAAAAAAAATAAAAATCACCTAAATATGTTGATTTAGCTTCATGAACATGTAAAAAAAACAAGCTACTTTATTAAATACTACACTGGTTTACCATCCTTTTTTCACTTCAGCAGAAACATCTACATGGTAAATACAAACAAGTTAGCCCTCTTAAATCCATTCAGCGTTCTAAAAAACATTTAATCAAACTAAGCTCTTCAAATTCACAATGTGTGGGGAAATGCGCTCTCAGACTGTGAGAAAAAATAAATCAATTAATGAAGGAGCCGACAGAGATATTTCTGTTTCTTTTATAAGTCAAGACAAAAAAGGCAATCAGGAGATGACCAACATGTAAAAACGTTGTACAGGTAAATATATAAAAGGCCAGGTTATCATCTTCAATTCCTGCAGTATGAATGAACTATATTACAACCCAATCCGAACTTGGCTCTTATCATCAAAAATGACAAGCCATTCTCGCCACATGGAGACACACAGGTATACACTGAACATTTACTCTGCATACCTTTCAGATACTCAAAAAAAAAAAAGGGAAGAAATTCATCTTCACGTGGACAACTTCCTTCACAAACTAGAGCAGAGAAAATTTCTACAAAGTTATCTTGTGAAAAAGTTTAGAGGACGAGGCAGAGGAAGGGGAAAGTGTTTACTAATAATAAGTGACGAATTTGTAAAGTGAAGAATCAAGAACAAAAATAAAATAAAATTAACGATTTTTACATCTCGAGGTTTGGCATACACAAACACGGAGTGGACACACGCCGTAAACAAAGTAAAAGCCCTTCAGATGTTTATACTTGTTTACATCTTTTTCACATCAACACTCGGCTTGAGCACAAACACAATGCATTTCCTCGTCTTCAAAAGCCCTTCTTGCCACAAATCCTTAAACCAATGGGAATGGCCAAGAACTATTAAAACAAAAAAATAAAATAAAAGTAGTGAGTTAAAAAAAGCACACGGACATACACATACACACAGGAGAAAAGCTTTAAAATACAAAAATAAACTACACAAGTTCTCCATCGTCGCTCGCTAATTTTTTGGGAAGTTTTTCTTTTTTTTCTCTTTTTTTGTTTTGTTTACTTTTTTGTTTGTTTGTATGGCAAACAGTTCTAGCAAAGTCTCTGCTGGTAATGTTCTTTCTTCCATGGCCGTTTCTTTATCCGCAGTTCAGCTTTTGTTTCTGCTCAATGCCAAAGTGCACAGAATCCAGAACCAATCCTCACGCACATCTGAAAAATATCCCCTCTTGTCTGAGGACAAGTGCTTGCTTTGTTTTCCCCATTTCTGCATGTTTGTTTGTTTTCTGTCTCCCATTATCACTCATCTCACATATTAAACATGAACTCAAACTTCACTCAGAAGTCCATTGCAAAAAAAAAAAAAAAAAAACTTCATAGAAACCAGCTGACAGAAAAAAACGTTACAAATATCTTAAAACTGCTTTTGAATTACTGAGGCAAAAATACATGAAAGAAATGTGGGGAGAGCAGAAAGGAAGACACTACAATGGAAAAAGCTTGTTTTTGTTTTCCTCTCCCGCTCCAAGTATGTTGAAAAATACTCGCAATGTGCTTTTCTCCATTCATACTATTAATAAAAAGCTAGAAACTGGATTTCCTCTTTTTTGTGCTGTTTTGATGAAGGGTTACAGTCAGAGATGGGTTAAATCCGGATGGAGCAGTGGGAGTAGTTAAAGTCTGTATGGTTTTGGAGGCTAAATGCAGAGGACAGGTTACTGGTCCATTCTTGCTTTCTTCTGACCAATCCCTTTCCTGTAACAAAAGAAAAGTGCTTTAATGGGCAAGCTTTAGATTCATTGCCATATCAGCAAGTCATGGCTATTTCATGGCAAAATCAATATACTTAACGTTCATGACAAGAACAACTTCATATTTCAATAAGAGATGGTACACATACAAATATAAAAAATAGGAAAAAGTAAATCACAAAAACTGTATATCAGGTCTTAAACTCAATTCCTGGAGGGCCGCAGCTTTGCACAAACCCTGATCAAACACTGCTGATCTAAATAATGAAGGTGTTCATGAGTCTTGAACACTTCGATTAGTTGGATCTGCTGTGTTTGATCAGGGTTGGAGCAAAACTGTGCAGAGCTGCGACCTATGCTGTATATTAAAATGAAGTATGATCATTTCAATTCAATATTTAATAAATAACTCAAAATTCTTCCGGGTAAAAGCTTTAGATTAGAGAAGCACAACATAAACATCAGCTGATATGTCGTGCAGATAAAGATGATGGTTTGATCGTGTACCTCCAGAAGGAGTGTTACGTTTAGTCAGTATGAAGTTTTAGATTCACTGTTTTGAATTGGCACCTTAAAACCGACACCATGTCCAATCAACAAGCAGCAGGAGAAGATTCCAGACACAATTTGTCTGTACGCACGAGACGCTACATGAGAGAAACATTTAAATATCTGAGCCAATCAGAAGAGCAGAATAAACCCACTGCACTCCCAATTAATATGGATTTACTACACAATTAATAAATATTAAACCTCATTACCATATTTAAAAGTGCAAGCTGTGTACGTGATAATCGGTTGCAGTTATAACCTTCATATTTAAACTATATGTATGCTAATTGTTTTATTTTCAAGATCTGAGGTAATCTGTCTGCTGGCACTTTCAGTTTGGCAATAAATGTGATGTAAAATGGTATCTGAAATCTCACTGGTTAAATGTAACAGATAATAAAGCAAATTATCGACTTGTGATCAATGTCTGTGATCTTCGCTGTTGTTGAGCCATGTCGTCGCAGAAATAGAAACAAATTATAAAGTAGAATCTTAGAATGTCGCATCACGAGTGGTTATGACAGGGGTCTCCAAACTCTGTTCAGGTGGGCCGGTGTCCTGGAGAGTTTAGCTTCAACCCTAATCAAACACACCCTGAACCAGCAAATCAAGCTCTTAATAGATATGCTAGAAAGTTCCTGGCAAGTGTATGGAAGTTTTAGCTAAACTCAGCGGGACACCGGCCTTTCAGGACCGAGTTTGGACACCCCTGGGTTAGGAGAAAACTCCTTTTAACCTGGAAAAGATGTTTTTATTACGTCACAGTGCTGCATTGAATGTTGTTAGGACACAATGTGAGAATGTGATTACAGAATGCCTGAAAGAGTGTGATAATTAATAGAGTTAAACTTATTAATTAATTAAACCCTAATTGATGATTTTCTGATTTGTAATTTTGAAAACAAATCGTTTTGAGCGTTATATCAATATTTGTAACAATTTAATAACAAAAAACTTGATATTTAACTGATTTTAAGCATCATGTGTTATTTAACACTAGCAATTGCTGATAAAAGCACAGCCCCTCACATAAATTACAATACAAAAGCATAACCCACACAAAAGACAAGCTATTTAAAATCATAACTTCTCTCTTTCTTTTTTTACAGTATTATTTTGTTTGTTTTGTTTATTAAATGCTTTTGTGTGACACTCGAGCCTTGGGCACTCACGTATCTGGTGAAGAAACTGCTCTTTTCGGGGCAGGTTTTGCAGAAAGGCCATCTTTGCTAGACTCTGTAAAGCACATAAAGCAATTATAGAATTCACCTAGCCACAGTTTGAAACAAATACTTCTCCCGACTAAAGATGAGGTTTACCTTGCAGCCATCGCACTTGTGTGGCAGGGCCATAGCCCTTTTCGTTGCGAGCGGCGATGCGGAAGATGATGGCGGGTTTGGTGGTGTAGTCAATGTGAGCGTTGGACAGGCTGGAGGACTGGACCAGGCACGAGGGGTTTGGTCCACAGTAAACCCGCATGAAGGCCAGCTGAGCCGGGGCTGAGGGCTTGGCTTCGGTGGTCTGACTGCTCTGGATGGCCAAATACACAGAGTACTCTGTGATCTTTCCTGATGTCACGGACGGAGGCTCCCATGTCAAATGAGCACCATCTGGACTCTAAAGAAAGCAGAAAACGGAGGATCTTTGAAATTGAGAAAACTAATTTGTTTTCCATGTAGCATCAATTACACTATCTGCTGATCCAATTTGCATCTGACTTACACTATTAAGAAGGGTTTATGTCAATTAAAATTCCTACATATATATTTATTTTTAAGTATTGTTTTAATGTTTAAGGGAAAATTAAGACACAACAGGCAAAATTCCTGATCATTCCTAAATAATTTGAAGTAAATTGTATAAATTCATAATTAAATGATCAAAATCAATTAGAAAATAAAATGAAAAAATGGATAAAAGTATAAGTAAATAAATAGTTAGATTATATGTTAGATACATGTACAATATGCAACAAGGGAAAACTACCTTGCTGATCTTTATGGCACATGGTGCTCCGGGGAAGCCTGGTAAACATGTCTTAAATGCAGATATTTCAGAAAAGGTTCCTCGGCCACAAGTATTTATACCCGCCACACGGAACTTGTAGGCGGTGCCAGGCTGAAGCTCCACCCTCTTCATCTGACTGTAGTCTGGGGCTGTGCCAGAATCATTCTGCAACAGAAACACAAGCTCTGTTAGCATTACTTATTTTCACAATCAAGCAATGCCACACAATATTAGAAATGAAAGAATCATTGCGGCAAACCTCAACATAAGCAGAGTCGTCTGCGGGCATGTAGAAATGAGTTACCACCGTATTGGTCACTTTAACAATGCCAACATCAAACCACTGGTTCTCTTTCTTCACTTGAGGTTTGACAGTAACTGTTGGAGGATTTTGTTTCTGTGGAGGAAAAAAAAAAAAGGATTTTA